CAGCCATTCTTCGCTTTCCTCTACAAGCGCCTTCCCCCTTTCCATCCCCCTGACTTTCTGGACCACAGGGTAGCTCCACACATCTTCCAAACCCCAACGTCGGTCGGGGTTCGACTTCATCATTCCCTTGATGACCATCAAGATGTCGCCGGAAAGGACGGGCATGTTGGGGTCATCGGCAGGAGGGTTGTGAGGGGGGGATGACGTTACAGAACGAGGAACATAGATGCCTTTCAAGTCGGAAAAGTCGTCATTGCGAAGTTGGACCCAGGCGTCGCCGTCTATGGCGTTGTTAGCTGCGTTCCGAGAGAGATGTTGAGACCACTCACTGCTAGGCAAAACGACGTTGAGAGCAGCTTCCAGTAACAACAATCCCAGACTAAACACGTCCGCCCCCTTCCCAATCATATCCGCTTCGCACAATGCCTCTGGGCAGAGGTACTCTCGGTCTCCTTCAACCTCCCTGTCCATGATCGGACTGGGCACCATCGCGGGCGCCTTGCCATCATCCATAGGTGTCTCAGCTGATTCCCAAACGAAGCCGCCCTGCTGATCTCTTTCGGGCAAAGCAGGACTCATCCCACCTAGCATGCGCCCATCAGGGCCAGCACCGCATACAACAGCCATACCCAGATCAGCAATGACCAAGCCGCCGTCAGACTTGATGAGGATGTTGGAAGGCTTGATGTCGAGGTGGAGAAAGCAGTGCTTGTGGATGTGTTCGATGCCCTGGGAGAGCTCGTCGAGGACTTTCCAGACTCGGGCTTCGCGAATACCGCCGTGGTCACTCAGCAAGGATAGGAAGCTGGAGAGATCGCCGCATTCGACCAAAGAAGTCAGAATGTAAAGACGAGAATGTGATTCCCACGAGTCAACGTAATGGATCACGTTGGGGTGAGGATCAAGAGACAGTTGACGCAGGATGGCAATCTCCTCCAGCTGGCGCAGTCTGTTCTTGATGCCAGTATATGGCTTGCCCGCTTTGACAGCATAAACCTTGCCCGTCTTCTTCTCACGCGCTTTCCACACCTGCGAAAAGGCTCCACTTCCAAGGTTATCCACCAGTGTAAAGTCGGTCTCCAACCTCGTAATACCGTCGCTCCCAAACTTGCCTGCACACGACGCCAAGCTTTCTGTAGCTTGTCCACGGGCAGGCGTAGTGATCGGAGCGGCGCTCTTAAAGTTGGCAGCCAGCATGGGGTTGGAGGTTCGGACCATGGGAAGTTGGACAACGCGACCTTCGGCAATAGGACTGCCTGCCAGCATTGATCGATATCGTTCGGCGATGGGGGCATCAAGGGCACCTGGGCGAGCGTACCGGTTGGATGGAGGTGTGGAGAAGAGATCCATGTCGACCGCATTGGCTGACGCGAAAGGGTAAACCACAGCAGCTCGGACAGGGGATGGAGTCGTGATGCCATAGCGCATCGCTGCACATGGATTGTCAGCTTCATCCGCGTTTCTGACTCGAGAAAGACTCACAATCTGGCTTGGTGGGAGTCACTGGTGACAAAGAAACACCTTGCAACGAGCTTCGACTGTTGCCCCGAATCATATCAAGACTACTGATCGAGCTCCCGCTTTTGAACATCGAGCTTCTCTTCTTTCTCAGACCTCTCGTCCTTTGCGCAGCTTGCAAAGCAGCCGCAGCATTCGACGAAATGATTTTGCCTACCCCTGAATCCAGAGGAGGCACAAATGGCCGCCCCATCGGTCTGATGGGCGAGACCGGGCTGGGAGGGTTCATCATCGAATTACCAAACTGTGAAAGCGACTTTTTCCTCTTGTGATCTGCCGCCGGCTCGCTCCCGAATACGGGAATCTCGACACCCGAGAAGCGCGACTTTTTCTTCACCAGCCCCGCCGACGCAAAGACACTAGGAGATGGGCGGATATCGGCAAAAGGCATCGAGGTAGGAGTATTGAGGGCAGTGTCGGCAGAGAGGAGGCTGGGGCGCTGCTTCTTTTGGGGCTCGGTGGAACCACGTCTCAGTGGAGGTCGGTTCGCATCACGGAGGGCGTTGACAGTGGGGATGGAAGGAGAGCTCGTGCGGGGCAGGCGAGGAAGCATGGCGCCCACAGCGGACGTTCGCCGAGGCAAGGCAGGTCGAGTCACAGCGTCCGGTGCTGAAGTGCGTCTGTTGAAAGAGGGAAGAGGAGGAAGGGTGGCAATACTGGGAGGTCTCGCGAGGATATTCGTAGATGGGCGAGAGGACACGGATTTGGAAGGTGAAAAGTCCGAGTCGTTGCTAGAGTCACTCGCCAGAGAGATGGACAAGCCGTTCTCTTCGCCAACGGTGACGGTCTTTGAAGCTCTACGAGGGCCGAGTTCTATGCCAAGGCCGAAAGAGCCACTCATCAAGCCCCCGTCGAACGGACTGCGGGAAGCCCCGGCTTTGGCCTTTTCCCAAAAGCTTCGCGAGCGAGAGCGTTGAGGTGATTGCTCTTCCACGTCCGTCATCATGTCCTCGTCCTCCGTCACATTCGGTGCCCTCGGCCCATTCCGCGCACCATCTTCCCTGAGAGTCACTGAACTCTTTCGCTTGTTCATGAGAAGACGCGGAAGAAATCCAGAGCGAGAGCCGGATCGAGAGTGGGAGGATGATTGGGAAGTGTTGAGAGTGAATGGTGATTCTACAGAGAAGGACTGAATGGTGGCTTGGCTGTCGGCAAGACTGGACATGTCGGTGGGCGATGGAAGCCCAGCGTCTTCGCTGAAAGGCGAGAATGTTTGCGCCATGGAGAATTTACTTGTGGGGGAGACGTTCTCGTCGTCGTCCCTCGCTGGTGCTCCCTCTTCACACTCCATTTCCGCCGTCTCCTCGTCCCACTTTGTCACGATTGAAGGTCGTGGGTGGTGTTCTAGAGAGCTGCGCCCGAGCGATAGAAGCGAATTGGAACTCGTGCCGCTGCCGCTAAACTCCATCGACGATGCCGAGCACTCGGTATCTCGTCTACCAAGACTATGCTGAAGTGACCCCAGAAGGCGTCCTTCCATGTGTTCGCCCCGTATCTGCATCGGTGGGGTCCAGTCCCGCCCCTCGACCCATCCCGACTGTGGTCTATCGATGAGACGCCCCTCATCCCATTCCTTCTCGGTGGGTGTGGGAGAGCTGTTTTGTCTCTGAGGTTGGCTGATAAATTTCGGCCCGGCAGATCTAGACTTTGGCAGGACGTGCTCGGGGGAGAGATGATGGCGGAAAGTAGAGGTGTAGGGAGTGGTGAGGGAAGCAGAGGTGGGATGGGAAGTCATCTTGAAAGGGGAGGTGAGGTGCGGCGGGAAACTGCCTTCGGTGGGGAGCTCTGGAGAGGGGGTGGGCCGGAGCGAGAATGAAGACAGTTGTTGGGATAGCTGCGCAGATACATCAGGTGGCTGTGGAGCGGGTATTGGGATAGCCACTCACGGATGGGACCGACGTCTCCCTCTTCGCCTTGGCCTCTGCGCGATTTTGTTTGACTCTTTTGTGTGATCTGGGCAGAGAGGAGGTGGAGGGGCGGCAGGAGGTCTGGGACGATGATTGTTGTTTGAGGGGGGTGGTTCTGAGGCGGGGGACATTGAGGTCGGGGGCTGTGGACAGGGGGAGGGGGGGCGGGTCGAGGTGGAAGGGGTGGGCGGACTGGAACGCGTCGGGGACGGGGTAGGGCATGACTGGTAAGGAGCGTGGGGGTGTAGAGAACGTGGGAGGGAGGCGAGGAGACAACCAAACAAGAGATGGAGATAATTGGAACGGGAGAGAAAGAAAAACAATCGTCCCGGTTGACGCGACTAGGCGTTCCTGGCCGCCACAAACAAACCACGCACGGCCTTATATGGGGGTGACACCGTCCGTATAGCTCAATTGACTGCAGGGACAGAGAGGGCACCGTCCATTTCCTAGTTCCTAGCCCAGGATCCCACCAAATGCTCCGTCGCATTCGGGACTCCGACGTCCACCACTCACATCTTGCCCCATCGGGCAGCCTCACGGACACACGGTGGAACCTCTCGGCGCATACTGCAACCTGAACGCCTCCAGGGCTCTCCAGGCGATTCGGGTCCCGCTGCCTGATCCCAATATAGGCGGTACAGGCGGGAGTCGTGCAATCTGGCATGGGGCACGTGAGGCCCATGAGGTAGTCAGTGCTGGTTAGTGCGTGACGCATAATAAATGAGAAGCGAGGCGAGATAGAAGACTGGGCCAGGAAAGGGTGGAGTGGTCGACGGGTTGCGCACAGACCCCCCTGCAAACCCCTACCAGTAGATAGCAAATGCCTCATGGGAAAGCAATCAGAAGATCCAAGCTGATGATCTGGAGATCAAAGATCCTCAGACTTCAGGATTTGGTTATTGATATTGTCTCTCCAGACCCTCGAGGTTAACGCATCGTATGCATTTTATATCTATCGGAGATCTTGCTCATGCTTACGCGGTATGTGTCATGATCATTCGCCGGTGTCCGGCCGGTGTCACCTTGGGGCGCTAGGGCCAGCAATAGTCGGCCACTCCGCTTCGAGCATCGGGCCTCCAGGTTGATTCATTCCAGCCTGGAATTTGGTTCGCGCCAAGGGCATATACCCCTTCGGTCACTACTTGTCACTTTGGCGCATTAAGACGTGGCGGAGTATTCACGCAGGATCAGCGCTAGGCTTGAAGGAAATCAAAAGGCGATTGAGGACAAAATCGAGCACGGGGACTCACCAGGTAGTACATGGTTAGCTCGAGGCTTTGCGCGCAAAGTTCATGTCTGCAAATGAGCCGCTCGGGACTTGGACCATCCTGTCTCGGACGGTCTCTCTCTTCCGAGTCATCATCAGTAGCTCACCCTTCTTTGCTTTTGCCGATCGACATCTCGAGGCGATTGCAAGCTACAGGCAAAAGGTGATCATCGGTCAAATGAGATCTCTCGCAACGGCTGGAGAGGCGGTGGAACCAAACAAGAGTCGTTGCGGGGTCCAGTACGTACGTAGGCGCGCCAGGTTCTGCCCGCAGGCTTCAGGAGACAAATGGCATTTCTGCGTCATACTGCCATGCATATCGCGAACGTACTTACCCAAAGTAAGTTGTGATTCCAGCAGATCGCGTCAGGGGCTCATTCCAGTGTACATAGGCACAGGAGCAATCAACACACGCGCACATCTTCTGAAGGGATACAACTGTACGCGCTGGGTACAATTGACAACAATCACCCACCAGGCTCTGTATATGGCCTCCCTCGTGCTTTCTACACGGCCATGAGGACACTGTGGTCGATGCAGAGCGCCGCGGCGATCGGGAGGTTCGGTCTGTGAGCCGAGAGTTTAGCAGAGATGCACCACTCCTTGCGCCCAGTACAGAAGCAAATCACTGAAAGTTGACGTGTACCATTACGTGTACCATTCGGTCACTTCAGACGGATGTCTCCAGTCGGCAAGTCACCCCACGTCTACACCGAGAAGAAGCTCACATTGCCAGACAGACTCTTGCATGCTCCGATCTATCCTCCTCGGATCGCCGGCACGTTCTGTTGTCCGCAACATGAGTCGGTAACAGACGTCGGCAAGGATGGAGGATGCACCGTCTTCCATCATGTCAGCAGCATGTACATGCACTGATGGTGATCCTACACGCTCCCCTTCACCTGCTCGTCAGACAAGTCACGGCCAGGGGGTGCCACAATCATGAACAAAAGGCATATGGTTCATTCCATGTTTCATCTCGAGCTCAGCAACCTAACTCGTAGTGCCGAATCTCTAGTACATCTTCGACATCTTCTTTGCCACTCTACTCACTTCCCATCCCTTCCTACCCACCCTTACGAACGATGCCCAAGGCTCCTCCTGAGGACCACAGACCAGCCAGAGCCTGTCTCGCTGCGCCTTACCCACTGCCTTATGTCTTCACCCGGGGGCCGCCAGATGCGGAAAGCAACGCAAAAGCAGGACCTTCGCGCGAACCTCAAAGTTCAGTAGCTGTCCCCAGCTTACTTCACTCTACACCGCTCATCACCCAGCCCAACCCCAGTGGCCAAATCAGCTTCCCACCCGTCGACCCCAATTGGCGAAAGATCCAGCCTGCTTTCCCTCCTATTCCTTACCCTCGGCAAGATCATGAAGAGATCGTTAGGATGAGGGTGAGGAGGCTCAAGGTGCTGAAAGATGTCAAAGATGGGTCGGATTCGAGCAGCGAGTGGGAAGTGAGATCAAAGGCGAAGAGCGAGACTGGAGAGGGAAAAGATGAGTCTTCTGACATGTTGCTCTCGGTGCAAAAGTCAGCTATGGATATTTTGAAAGACGGACAAGAGGTACTTTCCACATCCTCTTCATTGTTAGACACGCCGCTGATACTTTCTTAGGACGGCGTCAGCCAGAGGGACCCCGTCACGGGCCGCAACAATCTTTTGATGTATGCCTTCATCTCCGCCGCCTCCCACAACACCCGCGACCCTTCCATCTCTCCCCCGTCAGAAGGTATTCGCACGCCAACCCAATCCCGTCATATGGTGCCTCTCATTTCCAACGGCTCCGGATCCGACGGCGAGATTACGCCCAAAGCTCGGAACCAGACGCTGGCAGTAGAAGAAGAGTTTGATGACGGTGAGGAAGAGCAAGGAGGACCAGGGTGGGATGTGATCTCTGCGGCATCAAGCTTCCTCAGCGAAGGAAGCGATGCAGAGGAGGCAGATCAAGAGTGGCATGACGATTCACCTGCTGTGAGTTCAGTCAACAAGTCGTTTTCGGTCACTGACCATCCATGTCCAGTCGGCACGTCTAGTCACCCCAGCTGCCATCGCCCGTATGACACGTCGCCTCCATCGTCCTCCCAAAGGTCGCTTTCTCGGAAAAACGAATCAGCCGCGGTTTACATATCCCACCCCAAAGCTCCGCCACCAACCATCTCAATCATCCATCGGAGACAGCGACATTACCGCTCGCCCTTACCATCCTGCATTGATAGGTGCTGCTGGGGGTTATTTGTCGGAGAGTGGGAGTGCCCGAACGGCTGTACAAATCAGGAGGGGCAGGTATAGCCAAATGCTAGAAGTAGGGCGGAAAAGGAGGGGTGGAGAGCCAAACACACCTCCGCGTCCGCTTGAACACGCCCACATCACCTCACATGGCCAAAGCTTTCACCGAACCTCCCCCCAGCATGCCATACCCCAGCCATCAATGCTGGGACTCGAGGGGTTTACCTACGCCAACATACCAGCCATGCACCACCCTTCCGAATTCCTTTCTGCCTCTTCTCCATCCTCTGGCGAGCGCCCTGCCAAGCGTCACGCATCTCCTCGTAACGAGAGATGGTCTTCACCCCAGCCCATGTCTGTCGATCCTCGTACTGCCGGCACTTCTGCTGGTATCAGCTGGCCCCACCCTCTCCCTCCTCGCGAGCTCGTGCCCTCCGATGCGAGCACTTCTCAACTCGTCGCGATGTCTCAGTCGTGGGGCGAGATGGATGTCCCCATGCCGACTGCTTCCACCGCTGGTCACATCGCTTTCGGGAAAGCCTGCCACAACGTGCTCTTGTCCAAGAAAGAAGCTGCGCGGCGCCGAAAAGAGCGTTTGCGAAGAGACGAGGGCAAGGACAGGAGGTTGAGATTATTGATGCCTCCTCCACCTTTGCCATCTCAGACCCAGCAAGGCTCCCCAACGGGATACCAGCCGTACTTTCAGGCTTCACCTTGGGCGGGGGACGATCATGATGCGAGGTTTGTGCCACAAATGCCTCAGTACCAAATCCACCCTCAACTCGGCTGGGTCCCGCAACAACAATTTCTTCTTCCTTACCAACCTCAGAACTGGCAGCCTGTTCAGTACCCTGCCCCACCTCATCACATGAGTGGCAACACTCCAAGTTACACACAATTGTCCCAACTTTCCATCCCCATCCGCTCTTCCCCTCACGAAGCCAAGCCTGCCAGGAAGAGGCGCAGGTCGCTGAGTCCTTCGTCCGCTTATGACACCGTTCCCACCCCACGTCGATCTTTACAAGCGCAAACGCCTACACCTACACAAGCCCTGCAGGCAGGGTATACGCTGTTACCAGCGGCGCATATATCGACGCCACAGATGAACGGGCCAGCTTTGAAGTCGCCTCAGAGCCGTCCGGTCCAAGGCACACCACCGAGGGGAGTAGAAGAGAGCGGAGGCGATCTGTGGAAGGCTGCTCTGCAAGGCGGCTATGAGAGTATGGGTGAGGAGAACCGCAAGATTGCGAGGAGAGACAGATGGGTGCAAGAAGAGAGGGAAAGAACCAGGGCAATGAGCCGTGGGAGGTCTGTCAAGCCTTAATGACCAACATCGAGTGTCGATAGATAGTCTTGAGTGTGACGATTTGAACATGATTGTACTACTAGTGACGAGCTGTTAACGATATGTGTGTCGCGCATGTACCCAGGTTTTCTAGATCGACAGGCGTGTTACATACAATGCTAAGGAATGTGCAGACTTCTAATTGCCAAGAAGGGTCTACTGCTGTAATAGTTATAGGATGATAAGATTTTGTTTGAGAATGATAATACGAAAAAAGTCCCGGAACAATGACAGACGACTGACTCGATCAATCGTTGTGGTTGATGTGAACAAAAGTCTCGCTCAGTCCCTTCAATTCTCCCCAGACATTATCATCCCCAATCACATCCCCCATGGCCACCGTCTCCACTCCTTGTCCGTCGCCCATCGAGTTGACAGCTCCGGGGGCTCCATCGGGCCCCTTCAACGTCAATGCAAAGCAATCACCTGTAAAGTCGTAAGGTGTTCGGACAAGGAGAGGCTCGTTGATGCCGTCCAAGCGTGGTCGGTGAATGTGCGAGAAGAGCTTTGAGGGTTGGAGGTTGTATCGGTGTTTACCCAGAATGGTGTGAAGGAACGCGGGTTTGGGGTGGTATGCGGGGTTGTGGCGCTCAGTCCAGGGTGTGAGGCCCCATTGGATCACTGTCGAGCGGTTAGACGGCATTCGAAAGGAGGAGAGAGGAGGATGAAAAGGACGTACTGGAGTGGCCGCAGAACTTGTCAGAGTCTTCTCCGTTTTGAGTTTGGTATCCTCCAGCGGTCGCAAAGATCTTGGGCGCCTGTTGATATGGCAAGCCCAGAGCATAGAACGAGTACCTCTATCATCTTGGTCAGCATCTGGTTTACAGCTCCCAAGACCAAACTCACAAAAGTATCCTTGTCACCATAAGACAGGAAGCCATACATGTCGGGGTTCGACATCATGTGGTTAGAGAGGTGCAAGATGGCGAGATTGAGTCCATTGTTGGCCCGTTTGGAAAAGACAATCTGGCCGGTTTCGGCGGGCCAGTGGTCGTCAGTGCATGATTTGCCAACAATTCGGAAGATTGCATTGTCGGCTATGCTCTGATTAGCAAGATCGTGAAGGATAGGGGAGGAGGCATACGGTGGTCTTTGTTGAGATCGGCCCAGAAGACGGAACCGCTCTGCTTGTACTCGACACTGTCAAACAGCTCTCGAGGGTCGTTCAAGGGAATGTTGTCCTACCATATCATCAGCATACAGCCCTCTTCATAGAAGGATTGACTTACGCTATCCATATAGACAAACTCTGTGAAACGAGTCGCCAAGAACGCCGCATTCTTGATATGCCAGCTCTTTCCATCCGGCCTCTTCTCACTCGCAACGACCAGCTCGACACCAAAAGCTTCAAGCTCGGCGCGGGAGTCGGGGTCTTGCAGCTCGTCCGGGAAGTGGTACACCTGAACGGGAAGGGTAGACTTGATGACGTTTTTGAGCATGTGAAGGGAGAGCTTGAGGCGTTCGAGCGTTTTCTAAGAGCTATCAGTGATTGACAACACCTGAAAAGAGTCGACACTTACACCTTCACCACCGGTAAAAATGATACCCCGCCTGTCCTCCTTGGCCTCCGCCTCCATCGACTGATCCCAAATCAACCTGCCTCCTTCTCTCTCCACCTCCCTAAAGTAGTCGACGATCTTGGCCCTATACCTGACGATATCATTGGGTCCGATTTGCTCCCATTGCTCGGGCTTGCCGTCGTGGAAAAAGTAGGTGTTTCGAGAGTAGGTGTAGAAGGGGCAGCCGTGCCGGGAAGGAAGCTCTGCTTCCCATTGAGCCAAAGCTGGGCGAGTCAGGAGGTACTGGATCCTTGCCTCGAGCGTCAAAGGGATGTTGGCAAGGCCCCCGGAAGCTACTGGAACATGCTGTGTAGAAGCGTCGGTGGTGATATAGTCTGCCGCCCAGTAATCTTGCACTTTTTCACGATTGTAATGCGCAAAAGGCAGTGTCACGAGGAGAAGGACGACAGCGAAGAGAGCGACCTGAGCGTTGCGGGCCTTCAGGCGGTGGGTGAAGGGGATGGGCATGAGAGAGGGGCGGTAAGATGTGGGAGATGAAGGAGAAGAGGAGCGGGTGGTGGTTGTGGGAGTGGAGGGGAGTGGAGCGTATGAACCGGTTGGCATGGTGGGGTCGAAATGGGGATGGGTTGAGGGATGCTGCTAGCCAAGAGGGTTTCCTGCTGCCGAACTGACTCCACCGGACAACGATACCGGATGCTTTGGTGTTCCGAAAGATGCGGTGGGGTCAAGACGCCGAGATGTCTGTGCCGGATGCTTATGGGTGTCTGGGCGCTCTGGGTACACGAGTGAACCTGAGAGGGTGATGCTGTCGAGTTGAAAGATTGAAAGAAGAGAAATGGAGAGATTTCGGTTACTGCATGACCTCGGATATGGCTATATAGCGGCTGATGTGAGCGCTGAGATAGGGTTGGCTTGTGATGCGATGTGCTGTAACCGGGACTGGCGGGCTCTGGGATAACGCGAGAGTCTGGGACCGACGGCCTCCTGAAATAATGTGTGCCTGGGAGACGCGATTGGCCCATTGCTTGCCTCTTTTGGCCACAGAAAGTCGATCCTGGCGAGAACAGGGGGTCTTGCAAGCCACGATTCGCAAAGAGTGACTCAGGGGCAGCACCCAGCAGCGATCCGCGTGCGATGAAGGAGGAAGAGACAGAAGATGGACATCGAACAGGGCGAGAACAGAATCTTGTCCCCAAAAGATCCGGCCTATCTCACCCCTATCTCGACAACCTCAAACTCTCTTGTCACTCACCTTCCGTACCCCCGTAGCTCCCGCCCGCCTGTCGCCCGGTTATCACGCAAACTGTCACTTTCTCTGCATTTTTTTTTGCGAGACAGAACATTGAAAGAGGAGAAAGGGTACGTACCTTTACGTACATGGCAAGGCACGGGTCTTGGGCGATCGCTGCACCTCTTGCGCAGATTCGGGTGGATACTGTGCAATGGAGGACTGGGAGGGCGATCTTTGAGGGCTGAATTTAAACAGGCGGGAGAACAAGCATGAGACAGGAGGTTGAAGCTCGACAAGGCGCAAGGCGGAAGGGGGGCAAGAGAGGGCCGAGAGGACAGCGATTACGCAGTTCCGGGGGTGAAGACGGAGAGACAGAGGACTAGCATGGAGTCAACGTGTGTGGCAAGACACAGGGTACCTGCGCATGCACAGAGAGAAAGAAAGCCGAAAGAGCTCGATCACAGGAGCGGGACCCCGAGATTACGATCCTGGCTAATGGTTGTTTGTAATGGATTAGTCCTTTGATTAGGCCAGGGACGGACAGCGTGCCCGTGCTAAATCAACTCTCTCTGCGACCGTCATCATGCAATGGTAACGAAAAACGGAATGCATCTCTTTCTCCATATCATCACAAGTCAATTGGAAGGGAGAGCATGCCAATGGCGAACCCACCCTCGCCGCTGCACATCCTCCAGCTGCTCGTCCACAAACCACGCTTCCTCGCACTCGTCCTCGTCCCCGTCCTCTTCTTGCTCTTCAAATGGCAGTCGTCCCCTTCCGGCGCGCCCTCTCTGTCTCCGGATGACCCCAGGTTTGTGAGAGTGAAAGAAGCGCCCCAAGGCGGCTCCTGGGAAGCGCTCGCGGATGTCGATGAAGAGTGGGAGTATAGCGATGACGGGGCTGGGGGCAAATGGGGTTCGGGAGTGTCAGATTGGCTCGGGTGGAAGCAGGAGGAAAAGCAGGTGGTATTGGTCACTGGAGGCTCTGGACAGCTGGGTGAGTCACAGCCTATGCTAGGGTCGTGGATCCCGCACTGACATGATCCCCAGGTCAAGCGCTCATACCGTTGCTTCTCCTCAACTACACAATCCACGTCCAAGACATCGTCCCTCGCCCGTCCACCCTCCCCGAGTCAGTCATCTACCACCGCACCCTCTCCCCCACCGACGCCTACGCCGACCTCTTTGCTTCCTACTCTTTCGACGGCGTCATCCACCTTGCCGGCGTTTCGCTCGACTCTTGGTGCTCTGCCAAAGAAGAAGAATGTCGTGCAGTCAACGCGGAGGGTACTCGTGCTCTGATGCAACAGGTCGTGGGGCTACAGGGAGATAAGAAAAGAGGCAGGATGTGGAGAGATATCAAAGTGCCCTGGGTCATCCTCGGCTCGACGATGGACGTCTACGGGCCTGACGTCGGCGCGAGCGAAGACTCAGATAAAGAGCCTGCCACTGCTCTCGGCAGGACAAAGCTCGAGGCAGAGCAAGTCTTTGTCGAGTCTATCATTTCTGACGATGGAAGTCTGAAAACGCGCGGGATGATTTTGAGAGTGCCCCAGGTGTATGGCTACCACCAGATGTCTTCCATCCCCGAGACGTTTGTCACTGCCCTCCTCGCCAATGCTTTGACATCACTTCCTATACAGTTCTCTTCATCGAGAAAACCATATGATTTGCTGCACGTGCAGGATGCTCTGGCTGGGTACCTGAAAGCTATCAGCTGGATCAGCACCGACGGACCCCTCTCCGAGGTTCCTGACGTCAACCTCGTCACCGGCAAACGCACTCCTGCAAGGGAGGTGGTAGAGCTGGTCAGGAAAGAGACCGACTCGAAATCTCCCGTCCGCGATATCGGAGACAACTCCAACCCTGAGGCGCCCGAGTACAATCCCGGCAAGGGCAAGAGCTTCCTCGACTGGGAGGCGGAGATTACGCCTCTGATCGGGATGGGTATGGCCGTCACCCAGCTTTCGGATGATATCGCTGCCTATTCCCGGGCTTACCTTCATGCTCACTGCCCCCCGTCCCCCGATTTCCCGGCAAAGGACGGCGACCTCTCTGTCGCTTTCGTAGAAGATGAGCGCAACAAGCCTCTATGGAAGCTCGATGGCTGTACTGTCAACGTCGGGTTCAATCACAACAACTACCTGCATCACGTCAAGTGCGAAGATGGCCTGCATTGTCGGGCCGACGGCGTCAAGGTGACGGCGATGAATTGGAACCAGAGTGTGTGGATTGTGGAGAAGGTGGACTGGAGCAAGAAGCAAAAGGAGAGGGTGGTGAGAATCAGGCTCAAGGAAGAGAATGGTATGGGATACCTGAGGAGGACAACCCAGGAGGAAGGGGCGGAGATGCAGTTCGAGCTGTCAAAGGAGAGTGGGCCGGATACCGTCTTTGACTTGGAGGTGAGTCTAACCACGAGTGGTGAGGCAAGTGCTGACAGATGTAGGTGCGACGTGATTCATCCCACCTCCGTCTGCTCATCCCCGGCACCGACTTGCAAGTCCACGCTCTTGCCAATCAAGACGGGACAACTACATTCACTGCCGAGCCGTTGACCAGATTTGTCGACCCTCACTTTGACATGCGGATGAGTGTGCTTTGCTGTCCTTCGGAGGGTGATTGGCCTTTGCTGTTGGATGATTGTAAGTGTGGCATCTACCGTCTACATCCAAAGCTAATACGCGTCGCAGACGAATCCGCCGATATCCGGTTCGGTAATACCGGCCAGATCCCTTTCGAGTCTTCCCGCCGCTCCCATCTCTGCCTCCGCGCCGAGCAAGCCGTCAAATACAACTATCTCCGTCTCAGCACCGCCAAACAAGCCGTTAGCAAGGTCACTGGTACCGCGGGACACGCTTTCTTTGGCGAGACTGGGCCGCCTACGGACCCCAGACCAAACGAGTGGGCGCTCAAGGATCTACCGGCGTGCTGGAACGACTGCGACAGCCCGACGATTTGCGTGCAGACTGGTGTCTGCAAGTGCGTCCAGGCAGACCACTGTGCAATCCGGCGGGAGAACCCGCTTTTGAAGCTGTACCCCACCAACAAGGTTGCCGAGCCTGTCAAGTCTGATCTCGGCTCGTTCGCTGGCCATTCTGCTCATCTCAGCAACGCCGTCTCTTCCATCAACTGGCAAGACATTCTTCTCCCCGCCGCCCGTGCTTACCTCAAGGCCAGCCCCGAGTTTCCCAAGCTGCATGTAGCGGACGGTTACGACGGGCAAGAAGCGATTGAAGCTGCCGACTGCCACAAACTGCAGGATTCGCATTGCTTTTCGGCAGACAGTATTCTGTATAGGGGTATGAGGCACTTGTCGGTTTCAAAGGAGCAGGCAGAGCTTGTGGTTCTCCCTGTATACCAGCAATGTACGGGCCAGCCATTCTTGCTCCATGATGTCGTGCATCATGCGACCGAGACCATTCCTGGGGTCAATGAAGGTAACAAGCACCTGGCTGTGGTGTTGACGCATGACTGGGGGATCTGCTCTGCTTTTGCTTGGTGAGTCGTATTCGAGAATGTGCTGGCATCTGCTGACAATATCAACAGGGAGATCTGGTCTGCTCGAGACAACCACACTCTTTATCCCGACTGGATCCTCAACGACATGATCGTCTGGTCTGTCATGGGCGATTACGATTCCCCATGCTATCGTCCGCACCAAGATGTCGTCATCCCAGCCCGTACCTGCCGCTCCTATACCCTGCGAGAGACTTTCCCCACAGTGGAATCCATCCAGCCCATGAACACTCGACCCAACTTGCTCACTTGGTCGGGCACTTACTGGGGCACGGGCAAGAGTGACAGGTTGAGGATGACTTGTGACCGTGGTGGGGCTGGGGATAGAGAGCTGATCAAGGGTGGCGGTAAGCAGAGCAACTTTGGTAGTTGGGATTACATGAAGGATCTCAGTAATGCGAGATTCTGTCCCCAGCCCCGAGGTATTGCGGGTGAGTAGGATTTGGACTGTCAAACGGCGCAACTGACACTGTGGTAGGCTGGTCTCCACGAACCAACGACGCCATCTGGGCAGGTTGTATACCCGTCCTCATCGCCGAAGGTTCCCACTATCCCTTTGCCGATTTCCTCGACTGGTCCAAGTTTTCCGTCCGCGTGGCCCCCACCGAGCTCGACAAGATTGAGAGGATCCTCGCCGCGATCCCGTTGAGCAAGGTGGAGGAGATGCAGGCCAACTTGGTCAGCGTCAGAGAGGCGTTTGTGTATGCAGGGGATGAAAAGCCGGAGGAAGAGCTGGAGAGGCGGGGACCAATGTTCTTTGCTTTGCACGAGGCAGCGTTGAGGATGCGGACGCGATACCCTATAGCGTCGGAGGATCCGTAGTAAGATAGATATATGGGCCTTCTCCTCCTAGTCCGGTAATGACTATTGTTGTATATAGATGGGCATTGTAATAGTACGCAAAGAAGGTTCATTCATCCGTCGCCCGAGTCCCGCTCCACGTATGGCGCAGGTATCGACTATCTGCCATCTTCGCCCGTCTCTCCGTCTTTGACGACCTTGTTCTCGGATCGGTACAGGACCAAAAACATAATCATCCAAAGCGCCACAAAGCCCATCTCAAAATAGAGTGAAGCGCTGATATTGTCAAAGTTGGAGATTCCACCATCGTTGACCGTAAACAGACCGGCCTGGACAGCAAAAGACACCGCGGCGCCGAGCTGATATGATACTTGCAGAGTCGCCCCTGCGACTCCTCCGACGTGACTCGGGACGCTGACCATCGTTCCGACACTGCAAATGTATCATTAGAATCGCCGATGATGAAGATGTTGGCCGACTCACTTTGTCGCAGTAAAAACAACCATCATGGCGGCTGATCCAAAGGTCATGGACGGGAACAGGTATCGCCAAAAGTCTTCTCCAACGTGCGAGTGGGAAAAGATGAACATGACATATGCCGCCACGCCTAGTACACACCCACCGCTGATAGCAATTCTGGGCCAATTCATCAGCCCGCCCCAAACCGAGAGCACGATAGCAACGGCGGCCGGCGCAACACCTTGAGGCAGAACCCTCAGAGAAACAATCATGGGGCTTTCGCCGACAACATCCATCCAGTACTCGATGAAAGCGAGAAAGTTGACCGACCACCATGTGTAGCCCAACAGCCCAAAGACGATCCAGATCGCGAAATTGGGGTAGCGCCAGATAGAGGGTGGAAGAAGAGCGTGGGTGGTGGGGAGACGAGACTCCCAGAGAAAGAAGCTCGGGAACAGGATGAGGGATATGATAAAGGGGGCAATGAACCCAGGAGATGCCCAGCCGTTGGAAGCACCAAGAGTCAAAGAAAGGATGAGGAGGATGATCGCGGTCATCATTCTGGATTGCGATGAGTGGGCGCTATTTGCTGCTAATGGGAAGACTCACAAAGCACAACCGAAAAGGTCCAGCCTGGCACGTTTATCCTGTACACCTGCGTCTTCGCCGCTTCGTTTGGGAATCCAAAAGACGGAGCCTGCCCCAACAGGTAGAACAATGGCGGCCAGTAGCCTGAAAAACCACCTCCATGGCTCACCCTGTCCTCCACTAGGAATCAACATGATGGCCCCTGCAATCAGATTGCCCGTGCAATTCGCTAGAGCCCCGCTCACGCCATAGATAGTAAACGCCCTATGGAGCTCGTGAGGCTCAAATATAGCCACGATGAGGCGAAAGGAAGACGGGACTGAAGAGCTTCCGGCAATGCCTGAAAAGGCGCGAAGGATGAAGAAGGAGTAACGCTCGGGCAAGAAGGAGATGATCAGGTTGAGGGCCCCAAGGAATACGAGGCCATAAGAAAAGACAGGGGCAGGGGAGTAGAGGTCAGAGACTCGCCCCCAGAAGAGAAGGGTGGCTGCAAAAGTGACGGTATAGGAGGTGATGACCCATGACTGCTGAGCGAAGGGCACGCTCATAGAGTCGGAGATGGGGGATGTGAGTATGTAGAAGGCAGCAAGACACCACTCTGTCAATACGTTAGAGGATGTTATTACTGGGAAGGGAAAACTCACGATCGATGATCAAGGACAAGCTGAAGAGCGCGAGCAAACCCCACTTTTTCCGCTGAGATAGTTTGATCTCTGCACCCGCTCTAACGCCATGACTAAAGTTGTCCTCCGCATTGGTGATGCCTGATTCGATTAAAGCATTGGGTGCTGAATCAGTCTGCACGACGGCTGCCGAAGTTGAAGTGTCGGTGGAAACCGGCATGACGAACAAGTGGATGAGATTCGAGCTTGCGTGGCCCAAGGTAACGTTGAGTGATGCTTGTCGCTTGTTCCGCTTGGACAAGAGGGCGATCTGCAATGTTTTCGGGTATATTGGGAGAATGCAGTCCTTCTGACTCTTCACTCTCCGCCTTTATAAGCCATCCAGGGGCGGGCTTGCTCTGGCTCTCAACATGGCCAAAAGAAGGACAACCTCCACCGAACCTCCACCTTTTCGAGTCCCCTAGAGCGCCCCACGCATCCGCCCCGTCCCGCTGGCAGCAGTAGCACGATCAGCAGGGTATGGGTCCTCTTGCTATCTGGATGCGCCTTGGCCAGCTGTTACTCGAAGGGCTAAACTGACAGTCCACGAGTACGGTAGGGCGACGACGGCAGGGATGGATCGCCACACTTGCGCGCTGCCTGCTACAGTCCATGCTCTTTTTCGATCGGAAGACACGCTCTGTGACAATTTGATAGAGTGCCAGGCCGTATATCTCTGCGTCTGCATGATGCACAGCGTTACAATGGGCGGCATTGAGGAGGTCGAGGGGGAATTCGAGGCTGGCGCGCCTGTTTGTCGACGCGTCTAGGGATCAGGGACGATTACGCTGGATCGATAGTTTTCGTCAAACACAGTACATACAGCGCGATGGGGGAACGCTTCTACTCGCCCGTCTCGCAGCTCGAACAGCTCAACGACGACAGCGACCACCCACCGCCCACCTCCCCCCTCTCCCTCCCCGCCCTCCACCTCGGCTCCTTTGACTTTGACTCCGCCGCCTTCCACCCCGCCCGCTCCTCACACACCGACGCCGACATCCCAGACAATACCCCCACCGACATGGCCAGAGCCCCCCTCCCGCCCCCGTCTCCCGCCGACTCGTCCTTCTCCCGCCGCCCAGTCTCCGCACTCGCGACAAACACCCCCTCTTCCGCCCGCGAACAGCCCAAAGCTCGCCCGCTGGGGCACGCCCTCACCATCCATGTCCCCGGTCCCCTCACCCCGTCGCCGTCCCCGTCGCCATGGGACCGCGACGAGTCCTCTATAGCCTCGCCTCCCATATTCAGACACTCGCCCAGCGTAGCACGCCGTCGGACGGTGATCCAGCACAGCAGTGTCACGTACGAAGGCAACGTTGTGGATTTGGCAGGGACACCCCCTCGCCAGGGCACACCCGAGCATGGGCCCGTGGCTGAGGACGCTCAGGTCAGGCCCGCGTCTGTGGAACACGGGTCTATTACCATGCCCCAGCCGCAATTTGTAGACGCTAAAACGCAGCCTGCCAGTCCACGCAGACTAGAGAAGAAACCCGCCACGCATGACCTGAAGCAGTCTCCAAGCTCTCAATCTGTCAGACGTTCTCTGCCCCGTCCCCCAAAAATGGACACACCGCCTATACAGCAGCCAGTATTCGCAGAGACGGCAGTGCGCCAGCAGCCTGCCAGCGTCCCCGCCCCCACTCCTACCTCGACCTGGCCGCCCCTGAATGTCGAGCGCCAGACAGTCTCGCCCGTCCCCGTCGAACCTGCTCAGATGCGCCCAGCATACTATGCCAAACAACACCAGTCCAATGGCTCCGTGGCTAGCATACCCGTCGTTGCTGGTCTAGCCGATGCCGGGCCTTACTTTGCTGCTACCCCCAACGCCCCTTCTCGACAACCTACCGCCCGTGAAAGCCCCGCACCAGTGGCTACCAACGCGATAGGCCTCGGTCGACCTGGTGTACCAGCAGGGGCGCCCGGCCCGAGTCGGGTCAAGCAGGAAGAGGTATGTCTGGAATGCATGATGCGGGATAGGGATCTGGCAGATGTGGACGTGCAAGGCGAAGGTGTCTGGGGACGTGCGAGTGACGTGGATCTCACAGATCTGATTTGGCGGGAAGAGGCATTGCTCAAGTCGATGGGTGACTTGAACTCTGCAGACCTCCATGCCAAGTCGGACGACGCGACCTCGGAAGAGTCTCGCGCTGAAGAAGATCCCGAGGCGAGACAACAGGGGGAGCAGGAAAAGGCGGCGAGGCATGCTGCTATCCAGGCGAAAAAGCAAGAGGCAGACTGGAGAATCAGCAGAGAGATCGGATGGAGAGGTTTCAAGTGGGAAGAGGGCAGAGAGGGTGAGGGTTTGCCTAGAAACTTTAGAGGTGGTAAGGGTGGTGATTTGACGGTAGAGGGTATCAAAATGGTCATGACCAAGGTCAGTTTGACTGTCTGGGCTGGGGCATAGACTAACATGCTGCATAGTTTCCTTCGGCCTCTGCATTCCGATACCAAAAATTGCAAGACTATCTTCGCAATCAATGGGCTTTGGTTCTCGAAACACGAGCTGAAGCCCAACGTGTCGGGCATTTCGCCTTTCCCGACGACCTTTCGCCTGGCTCTTCGACATCTAGCCATGAAGTGCGAGCTCCCAATATGGCTCTGCCCAGCGCTGTCGCCTATGCCAGTGCCAGGGGAGCTAGCGGAAGTTCTCCGAGACATGCTCCGGGCGGTATGCGTCCCAGTCCTTCCTCTCCCGCCGGTCTCAGCCTTTCGTCTACTGCTGCCCAAGCGCCTCTCAGACAAGCTCCTCTCCAGCGTCCTTTGACACATTATCTACCCGAGCGGGAGCCGATGACTATGAGGCAGCCAGTCACCCCAACCAACCGGGTCGACGCATTCTCCCATAGCAACAGCATCCTTACGCCTCAGAGTCGGCATTTCAGGAATAGCCCGAGTCAAGAGCCAGATACCGAGGAATTGTGGTCGCCGGATGATGAGCCGACACAAAACTTGAGGCCATTCTCGTTTGCGGTGCGGGCTGGGGCCGTGGCGCGGGATGGGAGTGAAGGTGGGCATGGAGCCGGAGCAAGGAAGAGTCTGTTTGGAAGATGGGGTGGAAGTGTAACGAGCTTCTTTGGAGGAAGCCAGAACGGAAGTGGAAGCATGATGGATATGCAGTAAGTCGTCTGTCTTCGAAAGGCAGACTGAATGCTCACAATCTCGTAGCGTTGGGCTGGAAAGCGACAAGCGCAACAAAGCCACCTCAGCAGCCTACCCTCGAGCAGTCTCCCTCGCATCCCCAACTCGCCCTTCCTTCTTTTCCAACTCTTCGTCTGTTCAATCACATGATCCCCCGCCTCATCGCATTTCGCGTGCCATCAGTCATTCGCTGTTGTCCCAAGTGCAAATCGGCAGCGATCCTGAACAAGAGGAAGTTGGGGCTACAAAGAAGAAGGGTTTGAAGGGATTCTTGAAAAAGATGACTGGCGGGAAAAAGAAGGACGGGCGATCGAGGACAAACTCTATGGCTCAGCCTTCCGTGCCGTCAATGCCCGTGGCTCAACCTGAAACACCCCTTGCACCACCACCCCCTATATCGGTGCTCGTTGGCGGCAGGGATCCCTCCCATGCCCGTCAAGGTAGCGGCTCTTCATCATCCATGTTTACCGATGGTCAAGAGTCTGGTAGCAACCGTCTTTCTGGCTCAATTCTCTACAACCGAAGTGTCTCCGCACCTCTCAACAACGCATCTTCTTCGGATGTCAGTGTAGGCCAGTCGGGCAGCCCCGCCAGCTCTCGCTTCATGACGACTGGCCAGACCAAGCCCGAATCTTACAACTCTACCGGTGGAAAGAGGAGAAGCACGGTTGGTGAGATGGGCGAAGAGAGGAGGAGTGTGATGGAAGTGTTTACCCATGCAAGGGAGGATGGTGGTGCTTATGACGACATACCCGCCTCTCTTCGTCCTGGACGGCCCAACAATAAAACCAACACTTCCCTCTCGGCGTCGAGTGGGACAATGTTGGAGACTCCACCTGCTCTGAACTATGGCTCTGGCTCGTTCTTCTCGCAACAGCAGACTCCTGGCAAACTCACAATTAACACCGATATGCCAAACCACACTCCATCCAATTCTATTGGTTCCTTGTCTCCCAACAGATACAAGAATCTTCCTCCCATCCCTCCTGGCGACTTCGGATCAAATCATCCAAACCAGAGCATTGGGTCGAGGGGCATGGTCGGGTCTCCAGACTCATTCATTGCTGCTTTCCCTGATCAAGAGTTTACAGAGTATGGTGGTCGGGTGCCTACAAGACAACCTACTGGGCCGGGATCGCCCTTCTACAACAATGGCTATCCCCAGCCCCGACATCACCAGCAAATGTCTCAACAGCGTCTCCAACCCACAAGCGCTTATGCCCCGGGGTATGGTTACGGTGGGCGAGCGTCCCTTGACCAGAGGGCATCATCACCGAGGGTGGAAAGGGGCGGGCAGAGGGTTGTGCAGACCATGTATGGGATGCCGGCGGGGGTCGAGTATGGGACACTTTCAGGTGGCTTTGGGCCTGTAGAGGGTGAGAAGAAGAAGAAGGGGTTGAAGGGGTTTTTCGGGGGAGGCAAAGCTGGGAGATTGGCTTGAAGGTTGGGAGGGTGAAGAACACGGACGACCTTAACGCTTCTTTTAAATGATTAGTTTTCATCTATGTTTCTGTACACGTCTATTTACGCATTTATCTCACGTTTCTGGCCGGAACATAATATGATGCCTTCTGCTCGATGTGCATACGGTCATTGTTCCTATGTCTATCGATGGGCTTCAGTCTCGGGCCCTAGAACCATGTCGATCTTGTATGACGGATGAATTGCAACGCGCACACGTTTTGACTGCCAGCTTGTGTAGCGTCAACAAAGTCGAAAGCCAAAGGGACGAAACAGGTCATAAGATTCATAAAGTTGCCGGTGTCACAAGACTTTGTAGCTCTTTCAAGTACTCCCACAAACGACCAGCGCCGTGGTTACAAGATATGCGGATGTTCGTGTATGTATTTTACAGCCAATGCTTATTGAGAGGTTCAGCCTCAATCTTCCCCTTCTTCATCTTCACTGCCTACCACCCCAGACAAACCTCATCAACCTCTGGAGGGTACCAACATCACCCCTTTCCTCATGCTCATCATCATCACCGAACAACCCCAGGTCCACTTCACCTTCTTCCATGTCCAACGCGGCCTCGAAAGCGAC